CTCTGTTCTCACTTTAATAAAAATGAAGCAAATTAATTACTTTTAGTTTCTTGTAGATGTCTGAAACTTGAACAAACTAGACTTAAGAATAGACATTTTACCTTTGTTGGGAATCCAGGTGTCCATTGCATAGCATGCTTTCGTATTGGAGCTAGCACCTTGACAGTCTGGAGACCTTCAGAACGCCTGGATATCAAATTCAATTAAAAATGCATTCATTATATGTAATAAACTCTTCTTTTATCCTACTTATGCAAGAGCCACAGTAGGTCATAAAGCAAAATTTAGAACACAAGCTCCATTAACCCAAGAAAATCTGCTTGAAAACTGATTTCAAACCCAAGTCTGATTTTTAGCAACTAGTAAAAACTGACTCAGAAATAACTACTGCCAAGACTTAAAATCAGAATGTTAAACACAAGTCCAATCTGTAAAGCAGTCTTTAGAAAACAAAAGCAGAACCATCAAGTTTGCTTACCATATATAATCAACTGTGCCCATGAAACATCTATTGTAACTGGTCACAACGGGCTCTCCATTTGAATCTCTTGTCTGTGAATAATCCTAGAAAGATGTGGAAAAGAAGTCAGAGTGGCTGATAGATTAGACAGGACTGCTTTTAGAACTACAGGATCAGGTAAACTGTTATAAAGCTTAAGGGAGTCTACCTCTACTTCTGCATATGTGCTTTTGAGCTGAAGAGGATGTTCCACCAAAGTGCTATCTTGGTTGCCTGTTGCAGTTGCTATTTCCATTGGAGTCCAAAGTGATGGATCATAAGTACTTCTCTCCACATTGACAGTTTCAGAATCTGAGTTTAGAGAAACATCATCAAGAACTTCATTTAGTGAATTTAACTGTTGGTTAGACTCCTTAGAAGAGTGATCCAAGTTCGATGTTAAACATTCACTAAATTCTGATGGAAAGCCACCTTCATCATTGTGCGATGCAGACACAAATGCTATCTCATCATTGTTCATGCATCCATCTGCCATCATGGCGGCATCGGGCTCCACCAAATATAAGTTCTCTAGTTTTTTGTCCAACATAAAGTCAGTATTAGAACACATAATGGACTCATTTGTTTGATACAAGGCTGATGGCTTACATGTCTCATCCGTATCAAATGATCTAGATGACCAATTTCCCAACTTCTTTGGGTGAGAGACATCAATCACATCAATCAAGCTAGACCGGCAGAGTGCCTCTGTCGAAGAAACTTCCGAGTTGCCTGTGTTTGGAAGCTCTTTGTTGACTATTATATCGGTAGGACAATCATCACTGACACAGGCGAGTGTAGGACTATTAAATCTTGTTCCTTCATTTTTCATATTAATATCCGAATCAACATGTTCACTAACTGATTCTTGGAGAGAATGGGAGGTGGCTTCACCTTTTCCTCCATTCCTCTCAGTTACGTCAGAACAAACATTTTTTTCATGAGAAATAAACGGAGCAGCAATTGTATGAACATCATTATTTGCCTGATCCATGGAGCACCCATCTTCACCGGAAAGACAGCCTAGACTTCCTTTAGAGCTATCAACAGAGACAAAAGCTTCATCCTTGGAGCCATCTACCTCATGCCTCACAGTTTCTTCTTTTACATCAGGCAATGTGCTCTCCTTGTTCCTAGACTCTAAACCAATACCAGATTTATCAGATGCATCGAGGACATTCACAGTAGACTGATGTGAGAACAAATTGTTCTGCTTATCAGTATTGTTCTCATTCTGTACATTTGAGAGAGAATCACTCAGCCTGACACCAACCTCCTTGCCATCTACTATTGAAAGAGCTTGTTTTGAATCATCAGTCTGATTCCTGCAAAATACAGTAGGCCTTGACCTAAAGAACAAGGACAGACAAAAACCCAGCAGAATTTCCTAGGAAACTACATTCAACTCTACCCTGAACTAGAGTAAGATGGCTTTAGTGCATGAATTTCAGCAGAAGCTTGTCCAGATACTTTGTCTCTGTCAACTCCAGACAAATCTAACTGCATAAGACAAAGCAACTCAGAATTTAAATTCACACAATTTCAGTCATCAAATATAGCATGGTATTGGAAGTATATAGAAGAAAAAATTTACCTTCTGCTCCAAGATGAAGTTATACAATGGACTCTGCTACATAGAAAGGAATGTCATTCATTATGCATTAAATATAAAAAGACAAAACACCAGCGAATGGGCTAACACAACATCTATGTCTCAAGAAAAATAAAGACTTAACTAATGCCTAAAATAAGAAAGAAGAGATAACCTTTGGGGTACAATTGAAATCCCCACAAATAACAACAGGCGCATTATTCCAGATATTTGAAACTGCGTGAGCTCTGTCCAGGAGCATCCTCACCTGTTCGATGAGAATTACACATATTGGTAAGGGATTCAAAATTCAGCAGATTTACAACCCTTCAGAAACAAGGAATTTATTCAGGAAATAAAACCTTTGTTAGACACAAGAATACCAAATTCTTTTTTTGTCCATATTGCCAGTCAAGTAAGTATATCATGCTTGTCTCGGAAAAAAAAAGGGTAAACATATCATGGTTATATTTGCAAAGAATTTTCCAGAACCGACTTCGTTTAAAGTAACCTTATCTTGGAACAAAATTTTCCCATAATAATTACAACGAACATGCTGAGATTCAGTTAACAAGATGACCCACTCAGATGAATTCACATTGTATGTTGTGTGTGTGCGTAATATGTGGAAGATTCCAACAACCAAATTTGTTGAGAGTAAATTCTATTGAAACATTTAAATTTCACCATTACTATTACGACAAAAAATGCCAAAACTCAGTTAACAACAGAATTGCTCTAATGAATTCATATTGTGTTCGTGTTTGTGTGTGTGTGCGCAGAGCAGTGGAGAGGGTGAAGGGGAAGAAAGAGAAGGGGATGCACCATGAATTTGACACAATACGCACTCTGTAATAGCAAATACCTGGCCAAGCTTAAAATCCCCTCTTTTAGGATTGTAAAGTACGTGAATGTTACAAATGACAACTTGCTTAGGACATGCAGAACTGCAATTCCGAAACTCTTTGTTAATTTAGAAGGTTAAATAAATGATCAAAGTTTGATCGGAAATTTTGAACTGAAAAGCATATAAGACACTAGAGACATAAGCAAGGAAAAAAAATGTAAACTATATCCCCTTTTCCGAATAAGAAAAAATATCTGAACAAAGTAGAAACCGTGTAACGACGTTAGAGCAGATTATCGAATGTGATATGAGTAGTTTAGTTTGGTTTTCTATAAACCAATAATCAGTCCATGCGCTAAACCAGAAAAATAAAGCAAAAGGAAACAATTGTTTCAGAAATCAGAACTAGAAATTAATTAAATTTGTATAGTACCTTGTTGGTGATGAAGCCATGTTTTTTTTGTGATTTTGACTCAAAAGCTGTTTAACAAACCAAAAGGCACATGAAAACCAATATATAAATGAAAAGGAATAGCACCAAGATGAAACCATCAAATAAACCAATAATGACACTACCGAAATCCAAGACAGTTTCTAAGTAAAAGATTTGATTTACCTCAAGCACACATATCTGAGCAACATTGTCCCGGAGGCCAACTTTGTTAAACTCGATGCATTCCTCATGGACTAACTTAAATCTTTATTAAGGTAAATAAATGAGATTCTACAAAATTCACAAACAAAATTCTCCTTCCAAGTAAAACTGATAATATGATTTACCGTGATGTTCTCCAAAAGACTGCACAGCCATCAATTGCATTTCCAGTTCGCATCTATGAAATGTATGAAATCAAGTTATACATTTATTGTGCACAATACATTCTTCATGGTTTTCATGCAATCCCTTTTTCAAATGTTCTAGATGTTAAAAACTTTTCAAGACACAAATTAGAACATAAGAAGTATAACTGATAAGTTTTACCATAAACAAGACAACAAATATTTCTCTCCTACACGGAAGCACTGACACACAACCTAGGAACCAATAGACAATTAAGTGACTAATAACAACAAAGACCTGGATATGCATATCCTTCAGCACAAAAAAGACAAATTTTACCAAATAAACCAGAACATATTTACTCCAAACACCAATAAATATTAATACATGGATGATAATATGATCCCAAGAGGGTGGAGGGAGAAGAGGCAATAAAAACACACCTTCCAAATGCCACTATATCCCTCATATTTTAACTCCTCCTCTAGTTCTTGATATCGATCAACCTCCTGGATATACAGTAAAAGGATACAAACTGTATCAAAGTCTCAAATCACATATGTATGCATCACAACTACATATATATATATCAGTCATATCATAACATGGAATACAACTCCTGCTAGATGAGGATAAAATAAATCTTTGGTATAATTATACATGCGGTTAACCAGAATAGAGAATCATGTATTATGCAAATGGTGAAAAAGATTTTGCAAGACTTGAAATGAGGCACAAGACATGTCAAGAGAGAGAACCTGAAAACACAAAATATCAGCAGACCACAATCTTAGCTCAAACATGATATTGTGCTTCCTCCACTCCCAATCTAACATATAAGGCGGTATGTGAAAATAAAGCTTGCTCCGGTGGTTATTAGCAAGATAATCCGCTAATATATTATACGACAAAACCACGAACTTCTCTGCATAACATATTAACTTCTTTTAAAAAATGTAATCATGTAAAATAATCAATACTAAAGAAAGCAGAGATCCTTATTATCCATTAAGTAAAACAATTTCCTTTTCCTCTCAAAAGGAAATTCTTCTTGAAGTCGTGAGCATTCGAAAGCAAATACCACAATTACGAGGCGGTGCCGTTTTCGCGTACTCCCAACTTCGGTAATCCAATGGCTTTGAAGGCCGCGGAGCCAAATTTCGGTTGAACGGCGACCGGGGAGGCGGGCGAAACCGCTGATTCTGATTGAAATGAGGAGACGCCCCTTGATTGAGCTGAGAAGGCTGCCTCGACAAGCTTCCTGCTTGCTCTCCTCGCCTGAACCCTAGGTTCGCGCCTCGAACCGACTGGTAGTGAGAATCTCCAGTCACGAGCTGGTCACTACGTCCTCCGTTGTACGCTCGATTGGAGAATCCCCTGCTACCGCGGCTCCGGCCACCTCTATACTGTACCAAGAGCCACAAAACTGTTTGTTATTTCGTTAGCATACATGATTAGCGAGTAAACCAGGTCCAAATGTTCGTATACAGGTATGCGACAATATACGTATATGTATATAGAGAGAGAGATAAAGAGAGAGAGGGAGAGAGTACGCGAGGTCGAGAGGCCATGGCGGTGGCGTTGGCGGTGGCGGTGGCGTTGGCGTCGGCAGCTGTAGCGGCGAGGAAGTGGACGGCACGAGAAGAACGACGCATCTGGCGCGTTAGACAGTTTCTCAGCGAGTAGGCGTTTTAAACACGCGCCATAATTTATGTAAAAGAATTTAATTATAATTAAGTAATTATAAACATAACTATGACATAATTAAATTTCAAAGATTAATTAACTAAAAAAATATGTCTACATGGCGAAAAACCTCATCGTCATCCTCAGCCTCAGTCGGGCATTAACAGAGTTTCAAACATTTCCAGCATAATTCAAGCAGCAGGAGCTAAAGCCTTTGCAAGAAAGCAATGTCTTTTTGTCCCTCTCTATCCTCTTCGCAATCAGTCTCTCTCTTCTCCAAATCTAAACCCTTAAATGGAGATAACAGAGCCACGACCGTCTCTTTGAAGTCTTGCGTGCGAGCCTCTGCTGATGTTCCGGATTTCCTCTCTGCCAATTGGTATACGATTATTCTTTGATGTTTAGCACATGCACGCTTTTCTTAGCGATACCTTTTTAATTTATGGAAGCTAAGTTTGGTAGATATTTTATTTTCAGTCCTCAATTTGATATGTGAATGTTCTTTTGAGGGCGTCAATTTGTTGTCTGTCGGATATCTGGAGTGCGAGATATCCACTTGGTATCCAGGGTGCTTGTTTGATATAGTTTAGGTTGAAAGTATCGACGATCTCATTTCGTTTAGGGATTTTTTTTTTTCTTGCTTCTTCCATAGAGCAGGAAAATATTTATTGTTGATGATGTTATACCCTACCAAGTTTCTTTTTCTTTCATGTTGCAGGCTTGAAACTCGCAGGAAGAGACCTTTTGGACCGAGATTAAATGTAATTTCTTGATTCTTGACTGAGAAGTGAGCATCATAATGTACCAATATAACAGTTCAGCGCATTAATGTAACTTGATACTCTTGTTATAGTTTAGTGCGGAAGAAGCTGTTCAGTGTCAGCTTGATGCACTAAAATACAATGATCAACCACGTCCAGACTACGGAATTGAGGTCATGTATAGGGTAGTTCCTAGTTCTCAGACCCCGGTGCTATATATCTATATATATATTGGCTTTTGTGTGATACACTAAAAAATAACCTCAGGCCTTTAATGTCATTGAATGGGTGAAAGAGTGTAGTGGGTGTTTTCTCTGAACACTTCCTTTCTTTTGCTTGGCAGTTTGCTGGATTTGATCCATTCGAAAGATCTACCTACTTTGGACCATTCTTTGATTTGGGGCAGGTCAGTCAATTTAAATGTTTCAACACTTTGTTGATTGTTTGGTAATGTCTATAATTATTGCATTTCCCAATTTGTTGCTTTCTTGTGCTTGTAGTTTGAAAGATTCAGGCGCATTTTTCATCATTCTACTTACCGTGTTTTACTTGGGCACAAGGATAGAAAAATCTTGAGTAGTTTATTTGTGAAGGAGGTATGAATTGCTTCCAGTTGTTGGCCTGGTTGGGGAACGGTCTAAGTTCTTTTTCTCTAATCAGCAGTATTCTTTATCTGGAAGCAGGATCGATTCAAACAGCGGGTTTGGATACAAGGAAATCGGCCAGAGGAAGAAGAAACATTTGAATTTACAATGGTTCAGGTTTGAATCTTTCACTTTTCATCCATTATAGACATCTGTAGAAGTAATGGAATTTCCTTTGATGCCATTCTCATTTAACTATCTCAGACTTCCATGGAAACTTCTTATGAGATGTCCTAATTTCTTGGTGGTTATTATATGTATTTTTACACAGACACGCAGGTCAAGTTCTTGGGAACCTTGATGTTTTCCATGTCAACAAAAATATGGTTGTAGTTTTGTAGAGAAGAAATGATGTCATTGATCATGTTACTAATCTTTTAATCATTTTAGCTTGGGAATTTCGTGAATCCGCTAGGAAAAATCTTCATGAACTAACGCTTCACGATACTGGAAATGGAGAAAACTATTGTGCTACCACTCGAAGAATATTGAATCCTAGAACAAGTTGCTTGCCATCTGAGTGCCATTCTAAGTTATAGATATTAAAATTTGAAACTTCTATTGTAAATATGTTATTAACAAACTATTTCTTGATATTGATTGTCCGTCTTAGAGGAATGTCATATATATTCTATTAGAATCTTGGATATATCAATTTTGTGGATTAATGTTTTTATCGGCAGAGGGTTGGTGGTTTGTGGGATGGTTATTGGTTGACGGAGAGCCTGCTTCATGATGGAGATGCTTTTGCCGGTGGTTTGGCTTACTGAAAGCAAACTTGAAGATACGAAGTTCTGGTTCCTATTCCACCACTCTGTTGAATACTTCAAAGCATGAGATAATATGCTGAATGATCTTTCGTTTGTAAATATTTTGATTAAATCTGTGTCAACTTATCTTGTTTACAATGATGAGCGTGCTTGAGCTCTGTAAATACCGATCTGTATATATCTTGTACAAGTCAGTATATATTCTGCATTAATATACATGATGCTATTCTCAATTCCCCTACTTCTGCCCCCACTACAGCGTTGCTAAAATTTTCGACCAGTGCTTTTGATTTCTGCTGTGTTTGGTGAGGCGTTTTGTATAAAAGATAGATTATAGCCATGTCAATAAAATTTGACAGGTACTAAACTACAATTAAGTTTTCTGTTAACAGAAAAGATTGAGTTGAACCAAATTAATAACTCCAATACTTAATTAAACAGAAAACTAAATCAGGGACCACTTTAAATACAATTAAGGTAAATATTTAGATTTAGGCTTTTAGCTTAATGTTTTTCTTGAAGTTGTCACTGCTCTCTCAGAGTTTAAACTTCATGAAAAATATTTTTGACTGTTATGCCCGAGCAGCTCTAGCTCATGGCACTTGGGTCTCCTGGAGACCTCTTCATCCTGGGTTCAGTCTGACAATTAGGTAGCTCTTTAAGGGCTAGACTAGAAAAGAAAAAAAAAAAACAGAGAGATTGTAATAATAATCAAGTGGATTTTCATGCTCATTCATCATAATCAAACATTTTCTCTTCATCAAGCTGCAAAAAAGCCGGTTTACTAAACTTTCAGAAGAAAAACAAACAAAACAAAAGTTTCTGTTTACTTTTAACTGTTGAACATAAACATTCAGCTCCTTGGACCCATTGCAGATAACTTCACCTCACTGATGGATTCTCAATCCTTATCTGCCAGTTAATCACAATAAGTTGATGCTTAAATGGGACAAGGATAGTATTCCACATTTGTTGGTATCTCCAAAAACATCATTTCTTTGCTTGAGGATGGGTAAGGAACTTTGTCACAACATAGCAATCTGGTGGGTCAATGTTGGTGTAATAGTTCTGGATGGTGTCTGTAATTTCAAACCCAAATTTCTTATAAAAGCTAATGGCATCTTCATTGTTTGTTTGCACATGTAAGTAAATCTCAGATATGTTCTGCTTCGAGCAAAGATCAAGAACATGGCTGAGCAGTCTTGTGCCTGCACAAACCCCGAAATTTTGGGTCAACATGCTGAAACATTCTTCTACTATATGTTGTGAACCTTAAGTTCTGTTCACAAAGAGAGAAATGTTAACAAGAAGATATTTATATCTAGTTCTCTGGTCAGTTTGAAGAGTGGGCTATTTAGCACAGATCACACTCTTCTTCACATCAGCAAAAGTGAGTTAAGTACTCGTGCAAAATTAATTACTAGAAGAGACACATTTAAGTTGTCTCAATACCTTGGCCAACTTTACAACGAGAAAGATTAAAGATTCCCACTACTCACCAATTCCAAGCCCACGATATGGTGCTAAAACACCCAATGTCATGATGTAAACTCGGATAGCCCCACCTTCCTTCTTCTCCAGCCGACAGGCAATTGATCCAACACATATGTCACTATAATATGCTGATCAAGGAAGTGAAAAGTGAAGTTTAGATGAATTGATTGTCTACCCATATTAACCAGGGTGATGTGTTGCAGCATCAATGAACAATGTTGGAGATAACAACACTCTATTATTATGACATCTTGCAAGCAAAGAATAATACAGAACTATTTTTAACAATCACCCAATAGATATACTTTGCTTCAGAACAGTAGCACAGTGCACTTTGATTCTGTCAAAAGAGGACAATGTCTGCACTTTTAGAATCTCATAATGACAACAAATTGTTGATACTGCGTGTAAGGACTAACTGCGTGTTGTTTGAAAAAGGAAAACACTGCAGAATCAATTTAAGTAAAAAGGAAGGCAGTAGACAACTTTCTTTGGCTTTTTGAAATAAAACCAATAAATTTAAGAACTAGACAAGCATTTGAAACTACAACATATAAATTCAGCTCCTTCTCTTTGATATATCAATTACCTTAAAAAGCTGAAAACCAACACAAGATGAAAATGAAATTTTAATGTTCGACAGTCTATCCAAGGAAATGTAAAGAGTTCTCTGACATCACCT